AGCCGTTTCTCCTCCAAGAAAAAGGAGCCACAATTCCATTTACGACTCCTCCAGCCACTGTGACACTGACAGCAGCCCTGTCAGAGGAAGAAGCAGCTTCCATCCTTGGTTTGGGGATTTTTTCTATCTTTCTTTACTGAAATGGAAAAAAAAATCTGCAGATCCTTCTTTCTCTCTGGAACAAATCAGAATGCAGTTTCACCACTAGGTGGAACTACTTCAACTGTAGCCTAAACTACTAACTATGCAGCTATGAAGAAACCTGTAGATCAAGATTTCTCATCCACTGGGCTGTGGACCACAAGTGGGCCACGATGTACCCTCTAGTGGTCCTCAGGCCTATGCTGAGAAGGAGACAGTGGTCCATATAATACAGCATTGGGCCAAATACCTTTGGATGAGTTAAGGTGACGTTTGTGATCCAGAAGTAATCATCCAACATCAGTACCTGACCTGACTAATGCTCTTGTGGCTGAATGCAATCAAATCTTCACAGTAATGTTCCAACATCTAGTGTAAAGCTTTCTCAGAAGAGTAGAGGCTGTTACTGCAGCAAAGAGGGAAAAACTCTTTTTTTAATACTCTTGATTTTGAAAGAAACATTGGATGAGCAGGTGTCCACAAACCTTTGACCATATAATGTATATTCACCAAACACTGTTCAGAGAGTATTCAGTCATTCAGATATGGAACATTGCACTGATCCACAGTTTTGTCCATTTTGGAAAAGGTGCTATTCAGGACTGTCCTGGATGGCCAGGCTGGACTTACTGATGGTACTTTGTAATAAAAAAATCTGTGAAAAAATATATATTAATACAAGTCATGTAACAACGGAGCCTCATCTGATTTTAGCCGCTTGCCTCTAGAAATAAAACATACTGCACCAAAATTTCAATCGTCCACTCGCGAATGAACATTTTTGCTTAATTTGCCACCATTGTGCATGATTTCAGGTAAAAAACATGTTATGTTCACCTAATCTGTTGAAATTTAATGTTCAGTTCATCTTGTGGCATCCAAAAATTACTGTGTTAAATTTCCCCAAAACGATTTTTTAAATAAAAAATGTTTTTTGTTGTTTTCCTGTGGGCCTTCATGCCTTCTAGTGATAAACAGGTGGCCCTTGACGTGGAAAAGCTTGCGAACTCTTGCTGTAGATGACCAACAGCCTGGAGGTGTAGCTAGAACTTTTAGAATGGGGGGCCATGGATGCCCCTGAGATTTTACTGGGGTGGCACACTGCCAGGAAAAAAGCGTTAATATATTCAAATCAATTAAAAAGTGATGTGTTGTCTTTTCTCTGTACAAAACTAAATTTGTCCATCATTTCCACAAGAATAAAATATTATATTAGTACAGTTATTGCCAAAAGTAAACTGAAAGACAAAACTGGGTTGACGTTATGTATTATATATGTACTATGTATTATATGTATACATATACACACACACACACACACACACCCACACATATATATATATATATATATATATATATATATATATATTTGTACATTATGAGCAGCACTGCTGAAGGGACCTTCAGCCACCTGTTTGCTCAGGAAATTAGCCAATCACAATGAGATATGTTAATTACTAAATGCGGCATCATCAGACTCTTATACCTGATTGGTACCCTGATGGCACATTTTCACCATAAATCATAATTGATGAATCATTAATGATGGCTGTCTGTCTCACTTTCACTCACTGCAGTGGCCAGAAGGGCGGTCACGCTTCATTCTGATGTGGCACTGGACTGGCCACCCCTTGGCTACACCTCTGCAAAGTTTAATGCTTCTAAAAGCTCCCTCACAGACAGTTATTACACAAAATGGTTATGAATGCACTGTCTGATGCCTGAGACATTGTATTATGATAGTTTTGAGATAAGATTTTGGCCTAAAACTTATTTTTAAACCCATTCATGGCGGAGAGGTACACGCAGGGCACTGCAAAACAAAACGGTCCCCAAAATTTAGGAGAAACACACAAGTCCACTGCGCATTTTGGATAGTAAATAAAATAGAAAATGGCTATATTTGGGTTGCAGATATAATGACCCCTGGTTCCCATCATCAGCGCTGTGAAGAAATCTGAGTATGAGTGTTGTCGGAAGAAAACCTTGACATAATTTAAAAAATTCCTGTTCCTGAACAGTCCTTTACATTGTGTGTAAATTTCATGATGAAAGGATAAAAGAAATGACCCAAAATGACTTGGAAAAAAGTCTGGTTCCATTGACTTACATTAAAAGTAAAGTATGTTTTTTCCTTCTCCTGTGAATTTACCATTTTGGAGTACGAGGTTTTCTTCCGACACAATATGTTTGTCTAGAACAGAGTATTTTAACCATAAGCCACTCTGAATGACTCTGTTTATGTCTCATCAATTTGATTATACAGAAAATTTGGAAAGCTGGTGGAATTTCCCTTTAATAGCGGTACGCTCAGATAAGTCTGGACGATTAATCTATATTTATTTTCAGTTATGATTTTGGTTTTCAACAATTATGAAAACAAGATAACCGTGATAAAACAATTATTGTCTCACATTCTGGATCAAAATGCTTTTCTTGTTTTGTTGTGTAATAAACTCCTTTCCTTTATATTTTTAAATGTTTTTCAGTTGAATTACATTTAAAGTTCAAGGAAATCCACTGTTAAAGAAGGTTTTTAGAAGTTTAGAAGTTTAATAAATGCATGATGTTTCCAAAGTCAGTGAGTAATCGTGTTAAATAAGCGTGATCTCAATATTCACCGAAATAATCGTGACTATGATTTTTGCCGGAATTGAGCAGCACTACATTCAGCATATTAGAGTGACTTCTACATGCAGGAAATCTGTGCATGTAAATGTTTCTCTCAGCATCACCATGTAAGAAAAAAAAGAAACTTCATGCTGAGTGAATCTGTTCAGAAAATAGACAGTATCAGGAGGTTTTACTGAACCTGAACTGAGTGCTTTCACACCTCGCAGCTGTGTGCTCGCTGTAAATACAATCACAAACCACAGGGTGGCGCTGTGCTCCTAACAGTGGACATGAACCGAGAATGCTTTTCCTTACATGGAAGATGAGTTAGCAATACTTAAATTTCAGGGTGGGGGGTGTTTAATAACCATAAAAATAACGCAGAATAATATGTAAATAATGTAAAAAAAAAAATATATATATATAAAAATCTGAAAAATAGTCTTCATTTAGTTTAAGGAAAATATGGGTTAATATTTCTTGTACATATTCATGATAGGCCTAGTGAGAAAGAGCCATCTTGGGTAATAAAATTAGGGCTTTTGTCCTCCTGTGTCCAGACAGTGGGCATTAAGATGACTGTTAAAGAAGCTACTTCATACTTGCTCACTTAAACAGGCTGCACACTGAATATTTCCTGAGGTTCACACATATTAATGAAGAGAGTGAATGCAGACATTTCTAAAACGAGTTTATTTGGCCTCAGCCGGATATTCAGCGCAATCTATTCATAAAACAGAAAAAAACAAGCTGTCTAAAAAACATCCGGCAGAAGGGGAGCATGCCTCCTTACCTATTCAGACTCGGGGTCTCTCTCTCTGTCTCTCTCTCTCTGTCTGTCTCTCTCTGTCTGTCTCTCTCTTTCTGTCTCTCTCTTTCTGTCTCTCAGGCATCAAACTTCTGTTTATGTTTCTGTTATTATGACTTTAGGACTACTTGCAGTTCAGTCTTATTTCCTCACCCCATTCAGCTCGAGTGAAACCTGGATAACTGAACAGTCACTGAGCTTCTCATTCAGCAGCTGTCGATTGTTTACAGATGGTTAAAAAAAAGTCCGCAAGGGCCCCTCATTGTTTTTTCTGTGAGGTGACTTCCTTTGGGAAATTCTCAAGACTCGCAATTCTCAGGCAGGCCCCGCCCCATGTGTTGTGATTGGCCAGTAGTTCATGATTACTCAGCCAATTGAATGTCTATGTGGGCTGGAGTCTTTAGTGTAATGTATTGGGAATGTATCACAATCTCAAACTGTGCAGTCAGCAGCTAAGACAAATCTACCACATGCAAAATTAATAGATGATGTGATAAAATGACTGTAGAGATCACTTAGGTAGGGCTAGGACAACCTTCACCATCCAAAACAGCACAGTGTTGAAGGTCTAAACATGCTTTGGGTGAAAGAACGATTTTCTTTACATGGAAAATGAGTTAGCAACAATGAAAATTGAGGGGTGGGGTTGGGGATGGGGGGGTTAAGTATCATGAAAATAATGTAACAATAATATTTAAACAGAAACAATAATACATAATAATATAATCATAATAATATATTTTTTAAAATAATGTAAAAATGGATCCAAACTCAACTGGATACTGTTTTATGTATAGTTATGAAACCATATATTTACATATCTAATTATTTGCCATTATCTCATTTAATATTATTATTTAAAATTGAATACAGGAGCATCAACTCCACGCTCTACAGTCCAGTACAGTCCTTCTAAGATTTGCAGTTTGAATATTGCACGACATGATTATAGTTTATAGTTACATACATTTTTTTATATTTTATTTATCAAAAGCAAACAACATTAGAAAGACACACACACACACACACACACACATATATATATATATTACTTTTTGTTTGAAAAAAGGGCTCGATTAATACAATATAATGTTCCATCTCAACAATAATTGGCTTTTTGCCTGAGAATTTACGCTGTGAATATAAAACATAGCCATTAAAAGTTCAGATTTATCATACGGGCGTATTAACTGTCTGTATTCAGCGACCCGTTTGCCTGTAGATCTGTTGGCCAATCCCAACACAGGAGGGCGGGACTTGTCAGAGAACGGCTGGCGGGGAGGAGGGAAGAAACAACCCATTCGAACTTGCTTCTGATTGGCCAGCCGTACGCTGAGTCCGAGACGCTATTGGTCAAAGCTGCCGTCAATCTTCCGGTTTCCAGGATCCCTTCATAAGTTTGAAAGTTTTCGAAAAGGCGGAGTCGTGTAGCAAAAGGAAAAAAGACTCGTAACCGATCCGCAACACTTCTTCAATTATTTACACCGCTGGACCGACACCAAAAATAGCTCCGCCGACCCGGGCAGCTCGCTTTTGTTGTCTTTTGAGAAAAGCGTTGACTCTTCTCCGCGGTTGTAAACAGGTCGCGTGATATGGCTGCAACACCCTGCATTTCTCAGATGGAGATTTGAAGAAGGAAGGCTGGATTGCAGATCACGGATTTGACGCCCCAGTATCCGGTTTAAGTTGGAGGTAACTAAAGGTTCTTTCTTTTTCACAGAAGAAGGATTGAGGGACTAGATACGTTCGTGATTTTCCATAAAATAATGTCTAATTGAACTATAAACCCATAAAACTTAATACATCATTTACTCTTCTGACATTAACTTTCTGCTGAGTTGGATGCTGGGACTTCTTCTAACACACTTAAAAAAAGATGGTTCTTCAAAGGTTCTTTAGTAAAGAGAGTGGTTCTGTGTAGAACCTTGAGTATTTGGAGAACCATTTGCATGCTTAAATCGTTCTATGCATGGTGAAGTGGTTCTAAGATTGATGGAGAATGTGTTGTATACTTTTGAAAAGGGTTCTGTATAGCACCATATAGGTTCTGCTGTTGTCAAGCTTTCCAGACGTTTCTAAATAGAGCCATACACAACACATTCTCCATCAGTCTGAAGAACCAATTAATCATGCAAATGGTTCTTTGAGTGTTCATGGTTCTATTTAGAACCATTTTCTCTAACTTTTTAAGTGTGCACATAGAAACATTTTCAAAAAAGGTTCTACATAGAATCATCTACAGCACTTTCTACATCAATCTGGAGAACTCTTTTACTATGCAAAGAGCCCTTTAATCATACGAATGGTTCTTCGAGTGCTCGTGCTTCAATACAGGACCATTTTCTTTACTAAAGAACCTTGAACCGTCTTTTTTAAGTGTGTACATAGAACCATTTTCAAAAAAAGGTTCTATATAGAATTGTATACAACACATTCTCCATCAATCTGAAGAACCATTTCACCATGCAAAGAACCATTTAAGCGTGCAAATGGTTTTTGAGTGTTCATGGTTCTGTAGAACTCTTGTCTTTAATAAGAAACCCTTGAAGAACCATTTTTTAAAAAGATCATATAGAACCATTTCATGTTTAAGAGGATAACACTCTAAACAGCTCATTATAAGAGTTGTCTGCCACTATTTATTTACTTGAATTGCAAATTTTTGCATTGCCTTACAATGAAATATGACAGTGTTCATTAACATTATGGCACCTAAAATAAAATATATTAAATTCTACTTTGGAACGAATAGGCCTGATATGTTCGCCTGATCAACCAATAAGGCGAAGAAGCTGGAATAATGTTATTGCTGTTCCTTCCTGACTTTAATAGCCCACAGTGGTTGCAGGTGAAGTGCAATAAGAACAATAAGAACAATGGATCCAGCGCCTATGGCAACGTCATGTGCTAATGACAGACTGGGTAACTCATTTACAGGGGATGTGACCTGATTTACTGAATGACAAAGTGCATGAAGACCTCAGCTGTAACCCAGGAAACACCTGTGTACAGTGCTGACAAATTCTTTTCAACTTAAGACTTACCTGCGGTGGATTTGCAGTGTTCTTCATTATTACGATGGCCTTAAGTGACAAACTAGTGCAGAGGTCACTTAAAAATGCACCACAAAAATGTATCACAATCTTTAGTTTTTATGAGGTTTTATAAGGTGGAACAGCCAAAAAAGAAAAAAGCCCATTCATAAAACTGAACTTATCACTGTTTTATTTTTTTAATAAAAGAGTATTTTGATGTATTTTGTAAACACTTTAAACACGTTAAAGTTTCGGAACATACCGTTCACTTGCCATCCATACAGTTCATACATGGATGCTAAGCTATAGCCTATTTTAGTGATGTTATGCAAACCATCACATTTACATATATCCATCTATTCAGCCTAGAACGCTTTAGCCCCGCCGATTCACACTGAAGTTAGTGTTACAACATAGACTGTTTTTTAAACAATACAGGAATGACAGCCAATCAAAACAGAGCTCCTTTACATATATTCATCTATTCGGCCTAGAGTGCTTTAGCCCCGCCCATTCACACTGAAGTTAGTGTTTCAACATGAACTGCTTTTTAAACAACGCAGGACTGACAGCCAATCAAAACAGAGCTCATTTACATATATTCATCTATTTGGCCTAGAGTGCTTTAGCCCCGCCCACACACACTGAAGTTAGTGTTTCAACATTGGCTGTCATTCCTGTATTGTTTAAAAAGCAGTCTATCAAAAAAGAGCTCATTTACATGTATCCATCATTTGGCCTAGAGTGCTTTAGCCCCACCCATTCACACTGAAGTTATAAAGAGGACTGCTTTTTAAACAATACAGGAATGACAGCCAATCAAAAAAGAGTTCATTTACATACACCAGTCTTACAGGCACAGCAACAAAAACAGCCTGTATAATTCTAAAATTGTATATATTAATTTATAATGACTGTTTTTGATACATAGAACCACACAAATGAAATAAATTATAAAGTGGATCTTAGGGAAAATAGTGAAATACAGGAATAACATAGAATATGGGCCCTTTAATACGACCAAGGACATGAAGAAAGAAGCTAAAAAAGGCCCATTTTGGTTTCAGGTTGCTGCTGATATACACGATATGCTCTGAAAAGCCTATTGTCACGTAGTGTGGCGGAGTTTATCACGAAAATGATAAATGTCCTCATCACTGTCCACTAATCTAGAATAATGTGTGTGTGGTGAGAGTTCCTCACTACCTCTGGTCAGATTGGTTGTAGGCTGTGTGTTTGTACGTGATCTTTAGCTGCATGACCTCAAGATCAATTATCAAGAGATCCTTCTTGTTTGGCAGTTACAAAAAGGCCACTCTGTGTGCTGTTGCACAGTTTGGACGCCCAGAGAGAAAGCTCTGCTTCATGTCACGAGCTGGAAAGGCAGTGAAATGACTGAGTAGAGAACATGCTCGACTCTCTGAGTAGAGAACATGCGAGTGTATCTTCTTGCACAAGCAAATGGAGTCGTGCTCACAAGAGATACTTTTGTGCAACTGCAGAAAGTACAGGAAATGCTTTCAGCTGTGGTCTCCTCCATAGCATTTAGCCTGACAGACTATATGTCTGCAGAAACAACGTTCCCAAGCACAAGAGACGGTCACTGCCATCTTTTTTTGCTTCCTGTAGGCGAGTAGTGGGCCAGAAATGGTATGGCTAAAATTTTATATCATGGTATGTTTGAAATTTCTGACCACTTTAGTATATCACAGTGTACTGTGTAAACATTTAACTTCCAGTCAAAACAGCCATTAAGTACAAGTTATTCATGTATTTCAGGAGATATTTCTGAGATCAGATGCGAGATAATCCACTTGCCCAAGGAAGGAGAAAGTCAAAATAAGTAGAAAAGTCAGAAGTGGGGGGAAAAAACCCCCAGAAGGTTAAATAAGATTAAAAGCTAAGGTGAAAGTGTGACTCCTAATAACCACCTGGAAGACCTGGTAGACACCAAAACTGTCCCCATCTTCTTTTATTGGCTCCTGAGTGGCGCAGTCGTCTAAGTGTTGAGCGAGTTCAATCCTCGGTGATGCTACAGCCGTCCATGGTCTCCATCCACGGACGGCTATAGCATCGCTGAGGGTGGGTAGAATGGCCCCTCTGTCTGCCTCTGTGTGATTCGGGAAGTCCCAACTAGTGCGTGGAACTGGATGTGACTAAATTGGGGAGAAAATTGGAAAAAAACAAACAAAAAAGCTGAGAGAGAGGAGAAAATCAAGTTGCTTCAGATCTGAAAACATCCACAGGTGTTTCTGTCCATCCTTCCACTGTGAGAAGACGACTCAGCGCTATGGGTCTGAAAGGATGTGTAGCTGTCAAGAAGAACCTCACTGAGAAAAGGAGACACATCAACACATCAAACAAAGAAGCTGAGCAGTGGACTGACCACCCCAGAGTCCAGACCTCAACACCACTGAATGTGTTTGATTACTCCAGAAAATGATCAACCAGCTACTAAGACTGAACTTTGGAGGTGTGTCTGCAGAGATTCTTTGAGGAACTGAAAGTGGGTCTCCTGAAAAAAATGGAAGCTGTCTAACTTTAGCACAGTACTGTGTGCATGCATATTATATATATATATATATATATATATATATATACACACACACACACACACACATATTATATATATATATGGCTTTTGTTGGAAGAAAACCTTGTATCTCCAAAACAGTACTAACTTTACAGGAGAGGAAAAACCATGCTTTGCTTTTAATGTAAGTCAGTGGAACCAGACTATTTTCCAAGTAATTTTAGGCCATTTCTTTTGGTCCAATCATCATGAAATTTACAAACAATGTAAAGAACAACAGGCATTTTCAAATTATGTCAAAAACTGAAAACAACAGCTATATAGCTGCTATTTTTTTCAGCTATATAGAACAATAGATCAAATTTGTCCTTAAAGTATTCTGCCTCAAAAACAATCCACCTCAGACTGCAACTGAGTACACAATGAGAGTTGATCGACTGACTGCTGCGTTTTTGTTTTCAGTGAGAAACATTCCCAGCTCAGCCACTCAGCTCCCTCACAGAAAGTTATTATATGAAATGGTTATGAATTCACTGCCTGAGATATTGTTTTATGATTGTTTTGAGGTGAAAATTTGGCCTAAAACATATTGTTTAAAGCACATCTTTCACATGGTGGAGAGGGATTCAGGGCACTATAAAGTCCTGAAAGAGACCCTTTGCATTTCAATGATGTATGTATTAAACTCTAGGAGAGCAGAATGTTTAGGTGACAGTCTACCTCAGACTGCAACTGAGCACACAATGAGAGTTGAACGACTGACTGCTGCGTTTTTGTTTTCAGTAAGAAAGAAAACCCAGTGAAATATTCCCAGCTCAGCCATTCAGCTAACGATAGCATGTTCTGGACTGTTTGCACGTTGTGTTATCTGCGCTCATTTGTGACATACCGGTATAAAGACTATGACAAAACTCAAAGAACTTCCTACCAGTTCAGCCCATTTTCTGTAGACCACAACTTTCATTTTTCTGATTTCTCATTGTTGTGCACCACTTTGGTCACCATCACCTTTAGCTAACGACATGCTTTCCCACCTAAGCCTTACGTTTTCCCAAATTGCTTAATGCATTATTCATCTATGGGCCGTCTTGTGGCACATTTCTGAATAATTAATCGCACCGCAG